GGAAGTGTTCAAGGTCAGGTTGGATGGGGCTTTGAGCAACCTGGTCTAGTGGAAGGTGTCCCTGCCCAGGGCAGGGGGGTTGGAACTAGATGACCTTTAGAGGTTCCTTCCAACCCAAACCATTCTATGATTTCTATAATATATTAAATAAAAATCAGTACTTTGAGGTAAAGTTTGATAAGAATCTTGCTACTTTACCAATCTTGCAAGAGGGGTGGCCACATTCTAGATCATAGTACACTTTTTCCTAGTTGGTTTCTCAAGGGCCCAGTCAATATAGCAGGATGACAAAACTGTTGATTCATTAACTGAAATTATACCTCAGATCATAGTAAGCACTAGATAATCCAGATAGCATGGGTTGTAATCCTCGGTGTGTGACAGAGACACACCTCTTTGTGATGTTGCCTCTGTACTGGGCCAGCTCTAGCATTACCAAGTCAGATGTTTAAGGGCAAGTATGAGAGCTAGGGGGCATTTTACACTTCTGTCTCCTCCTGCCTCTTTCCCTTACCATCCTCTGAATTTCTGCAGTATGGCTGTGCATTAAGGCAAGTTATTCACCATTTTGAAGGAGTGAACTTCATTGTTGCTACTTGCTTGCTCTCTCGGGCGGCTTTCTACAAACCTAATTATCTGTTAGAAGAGCACTTACATTAATATACTTTATTACCCAGCCTATGCTGAAATAAGCGTTATCAAGTTAAGCACTTGTACCAGCCTTAATGCATCAGCACTAGGGAAGTAATCCTGCTTTGTAATAGCATAATTTTATGTGCAGACAAGAATTAAGCATGAGTGTTATACAATACTCCTGAAATCTGATTAAGCTAAATACTGTAATATGAAGTTTGCTGTTGAATGAACTCAAATCAAATCTGTAAGCCCACCCACTGTCTCAATTCTCCACCTTGCTACTGTAACTCAAGCAGAAAAACAATTTCTGTCCTAGAGTCAGCACATCATCTGCCCAAGGACACTTACATTATAAAGCTCCTGTTATTAACGGTATCTGCTGGTCGTGTCACAAAAGCAACTGCGCTTGAGCTCTGCCTCTAACAAAATAGTTAGAAGGGACTGCCCTCTTTGACCTGCACCTCCACCACTGCATCTCTGCATCTCCAGGACCCTGTGTAGGCCCTGCTTCTCCTAGACCACTGCTTCTTCCTATGCGTGCTTTGGCTTCAGCTGTCTTTGGGGGAGCTGGTAGGTGGGCATAGATGTATGCTGGATCGTCACTGACTGCCCACGTGGCCATTGTTGCAATGCTGCTTCTAGCATATCCCGGCTGAGCCACTGCACTTCATGCTTTCAGCATGTGAGAATGCACATGCTTCAGTTTCTGCTACATTTTCTCTTTCTGGTCACGGTGAAGCAACATTGGTGGTAAATAACCATTTACAAAGTTTGCTGTGGCGTGCTTCAGTTTCTGCTACATTTTCTCTTGTCATGGTGAAGCAACATTGGTGGTAAATAACCATTACAAAGTTTGCTGGTGGAACAATGTGCAAAATTGTCTCGCAGATGGTGCTGCGCTCTTAAACAGCCCAGAGTTTAAAGTCTATTAAGAATAAACCCCCAGTTTCCTATTTTAGCTATAAAGAAAGAAGAGACCCATGTAAAGCAAAAAAAGAATGACGAAACCTTATTTGTTACCTTTCAACTCAGCCATAAAGACAGCCCTAGCCTCCACCCTCATTTCAGAAAGATCTCTATCCCGGACCATATTCTAAACACCTTAAAGTTTAGTATGGTAACTTAAAAGTTGCTAGTCCAAGCTATGAATCCTGTAATCAGGTGTATCTCATGATCATCCACCCTTGTATTGTTTTGCCCTACTACTGTCAGTTACTGGCAACTTGCCTGGTTACTGGAAATCGGGATTCATAGTCGCTGCCCAAGAATCCTGCCTATGCATGAAGCAACAGGGGCAGAGCAGTCAGTACCTCTCACTGTCTCCATGTAACAGCACTTAAATGGATGATGGTGCTGCAGTGCCATCATGCCAAGACACATTATAAACCTGCTGCAGTAGTGCCATCATGCCAAGACACATTATAAACCTCACTAAAAACTCGTTCAAACAGGACTAATTTTTTTTTTCCTAGGATTAAAAAGAACAAGAAGCTGGAATGGTTAAATTGGGCACAAACACAAGGTTGAGCAGCAATTCTGGAGTTAAATCAGCATCGGAGAGCTGGAGCCATCTGGACTGCTAGCTTACAGCACACTGAGAAGGCCCTGATGTTGTTCCCTGTGTACTACTTTTCTCAGTTGTATAGAAACAGTTTTTGAATTTGTATCTCTACTAAAGGTAACTTTGGAATCCATTCCTCCTAACATTCCTCCTAAGCACCAGCAGCTTCCTGGTTAGCTCCTGATACGTCTGCTAAGTTAAAAAATAATATTCCTGCTCTGATTTTCCCTCTTAAGAGGGGACCTGCTGGGACAAAGAAGTGAATTGTGAAATGTTCGCTACTGTAGGAGACAGCTAGCACCAAAGTTGTACCAACACCTATCAATCCAGCAGTGCAAGGATATTCTGTAACTACACTGTTCCTCTTCCTTTTGATGTTTTTTAAACCTTTTTTCTTTAGTTGATATGTCAATTGAGAAAACACAGGAGTCTCCTGTTGGCTAATCTATAATACTATAAGGTGGAACATATAGATGGAAATCATTAGAACAGGCAACAATTTCCCAGTTGAAATACTAAATTTGGCCACTTCATTTACTAGCTGCTCATACAGTGTATAATTTATCAAATGTGTAATTATGTAAAATTAGACTATGCTATTTTTTACATTGTATGTTTAACATACAACGTAGAATGAGAGGTTCAGGATTCAGGGGAATGCAACAAAATACCTGAATGTTTTTAGTTTGGATTTAGACATCTGAGCTAGGCTCTGATGTGGGTCATTGGCCTCAGCCCGAGTTGTTACAATTTTCTTGAGTTTTTTCGTTCTTTGTTTCTGCTTTGTTCTGTTCCTTTTTTGTTGTTCTTCCAGCTTTCTCTTTTCCGCAAGTGTATTCCTGGGTGGAAAAATAAACTAAGGCTGAATTCATATTAAATCAAGAGCAAGACTTCAAAGGAAGCTTTGGCAAAGGAGATTCAAAAGAGAAAAACAGGGTGAAGACAGGGTTGGCATAAGAGGACACGAGGTATGTGCCATTTTAAGGGATTCAGGGAAATTATTGATTTAGGGGATCCTGGGAAACAGCAGTCATTTGTCCCTTTCCTATGGACGTTCCAAGAAAAATGCACTATGTTTCATTAACACTCATAAATACTAATTAAGTCCTATATTGAAAGATTTTAAGTTTTCTATTATAATTAAGTCCTTATATTAATGTATTAAGTCCTATATGCACTGCATGGAAGAACTGACTACATATGTAGAAATACAAAAGAAATCTACTCTTAAAGTGTATATAAAACGTAGAGCGTTGCTAAAGTAGTCACCTCATGGCTTGTAGCCGTCGTCTTGTGGATTCTGTGATTTTTGGCGATTTAGCTTCCCCAAATCCTGAGAGATGTGAATTTGCACTTGAATGTCTCATTTGAGGTTTGCGTCTTGGAGAGGCATATGGCCAGCGTGTTTCTCTCAACTTTTCTTCGTCCTCTTGAATGTCCTTCAAAATCTTCCCCTTGTTTGAGGGAATATACGGAGTACGAAGATCGAAAGGTTCACAGACTGTAAGGTGTTTCACTTGTTTTTGTTGCAGGAGCCGTTTCTGAAATTTCTGGTGTAGTAATTCAAAATCTGGAACATTTGATTTGATCCTGGGTTTATGTTCTGTTTCCTTTGGTTCAACGCACTTGTGTTTCTTCCTTTTACTGGTATCTTTTAAAGCCAGTCTGCTGTTGGGTGGAGATGAATTACGTAGCAACTCTTCAGCTCTCATTCTGATCCTGATTTCTCTGTAGAGCTCTTCCTCCTTTAGCTTGTCGTTAACGGCTGCACCATAAACACATTTAGGAACTGGTTTTGCTTTGAACGGTTTTGTTTTCTTTTCAGGTGTGGAAAGGTCTCTTAATTGCATTTTCCTAATTTCATTCCTTTGCTTCTCTCGTTCAATGAATTTAAATGGCTTCTGAGAAGCCGCGAGCTTGAGTTTGCTTCTCTCTTTCACAGACCTCCTGCGTTCTTCGTTTCGTTGCACAATTTCATGGTAGAGCGGAAGGAAGATGGCAGCAGGCACTGGGTTGGCTCGGAACTTTTTCTGACACTCTGCTTCTTCCTCTAGTTGCTTCTTCAATAAGTTATTTTCTATTTCAATCTGTGACTTTGATTTCACATTCTGTTCTTTTTTCCTAGCTTCTCTAATAGTCATCTGGAAAGGCTTGGGCACAGTAACTTTTGGTGACCATGCCTTCTGTTTCTTCCGTACCATTCTGAAGGCTGGTGAGCTTGGTAAACTGTGTTTGGTGCGGGAGACGTAGTCTTCCACAGAGAACCCGTCCCACATTTTTTCAATCTGTTCCTTGGCAAATGCAGATGATCCAGTTTCACTACCATTTTCTTCAAAGGCTAATTCTTTGTCAGACCCATCAGATATACTTGAGCCTAAGGGATCACTTAAGTCAGAGTCTGAAAAGGATTTGTGCAAATTTAGAGGCTGACACGAGCTCTTCTCCCAAGTTGGCCTTTAAAAAAGGAAAAAAAAGTTGTTTTGAGTCCAGTCCAACATTGATACAAAGCCAGTAACTTCCACTTTAAGGTATCATCATTAGAAAAAAAAATAACAGCACTGGTGGGGAAGAAAAGGGAAAAGAGAAGCACATTGGGCACTCACACCAGATCATAGTTTTAAGTAAGCGCTGATCAAGTCAGCACTTCTTAAAGAAAGGCACCGTGTTCTACTAAACATGTTGCCCAGTCTCTGCTGCACATGCTTGTAAATCTCACAGTCTGTTAGCAAGGTGAACAAGCATTTTTATTATTAAAACTAACTTTTCTGTGATTATCTGCTTATAGCAAATGGGGAGAGTAACACTTCCCAGCCCCAGAAAAAAACCTGCTGTTTTACAGATGTCTGCAAAGCATTTGAGAATCTTCAGATAAAAGGTACCACCAAACTTACCTACAACACGTGTTAGAAGCAGCATTTTTCTTGTCCGAGGGTTGTACTCCTTTTAAATACAGTTTATTCCGATACATACTTTCTAATTTTGCCATGGTCTCCAAGTGGGCATTCTTCAACTCTTCTAGCTTCAAGTAATATTCTTGATTTGAATTGTGCATTTTGGAAAAGTCTATCCACTTGTCAGAGTCTCCATTTAGAGAGAGGGTCTGCTCTCTGTTGGTATTTGAATCCAAATCAAAACCATCCTAGAAGAGATGTTTAAAATTTTCTGACTGTTAGAAGAAAGGGGAACAAGGTTCTTAATACTGCTTTATCCTAATTAAGTCTAATGAATGATACAGTAACAGCAAATAGATACACCTGTATACAAATGTTAATGCAGAGTTACAGGGAATAATATTGCATAATAATTTATATCCTAAGAGTCCTATTTAAAGCATGTAAAATTCCTAAGTCTGTCCCTGTAATCAAGATATTTATACCAGGAAATATGATCAAAGGGACTTACCAAAAGAAAAAAGTTTTAACTATTTTGTAAAGTGTAGTTTTTACTTGATTACTACACAGCTCTAAAGAAGCCTTTATTTAAAAACAGACAAAACCACAGCAGAACCTTCTCTGCCTTCCGTTTCCATAAGCATTCTTTAAACTAAAGTTGCCGGGGGAGGGGAACCTCAATCCATCCCACTCCTACCAGTTTGATGCCAGGGCCAGCAACAGATGCCCAGAGCCTGGAGAAGGGACACAGGTCAGCAGGAGAGCGCCTGAAGAGCAGCACAAAGGAACTCCAG